AGGATTGAGGAACAAGGACATTGCAAACCTTGACCTATATCCAGCCTACACTTTGAAATATAGCTGCAAGCGCTGATGTGGAGACCAAGGAGTGGAGAAGGGCGTAGTCACCGTGGCAACTCGATAGGGTCATCTTTAAAGCATAGCCGAAAGCACAGCCTCCAAGTTGCAAAGTTTTTGGGCAAGTGAAATATTAGATTCCACTTTATGTGGTCTGCTTCCTTGTGATGGATTAGCGGGTCACAATGAGGTAGACATTACTATCTGTCATTTAGACTTTGTAGAAACTCACACTAGCCTACACCGGCATGAGATTTTTTATTTATTTATTTTTAATCTGAGACTCTGTATGACTGAGGAATGTGGGGACAAAGAAAATATCAGTAGTTCCAAAAAAGAATGTAAAAATGCATATATATATATATATATATATATATATCATTAACGACATTCAGTTCTATTTCCATTTAGTTCGAATTAAATTCAACAGTTTGATATACCTAAGAATGAGTCTGTTTCCCAATCAGAGGAACGCATATCTGTTGTTTGGAAACATAGATGACTGATGAATGCACGGGGGGAGGGCACACCACCATGGGTCCCAATGGTGGTGTGCATTTGCATAGGTATAAGGGGGTCGGCGTCTGAAAATTGGCCATATTGTGTGTACGTAATAAATGGATGAACCCCCCCCCCCCCTCCCTCCCCAGACATATTGTGCGTGTTTAATATGTTAAAAAGGGTGGAAATAGGCAAACATGATACTATTACACTTCCGTAATTGTATCATGGTCATTGGTGTCATTGAATGAAAGTTTTGGTGTAAGACCAGGAAAGCACAATTTTGGGCAAAAATGGTGCAAATTCCATGATTGGAAAGAAGGGTTTAATCATCATAAGCGTATTTTCCACACTATAAGGCACACCAAAAAGCATTCAATTTGTCAAAAGCCTCCTTATAATCCAATGCATCGTATATATGGATCAATATTCTGATTTCACGTAGTATTTGAAATGTTTTGTTAAGCGCTTTGTTACAGCTGCAGCGGTTGTGAAAGCACTCTATAAGTAAAGCCGTATTTTATTGTATTGTATTTCCTTTAGCGTAGCTCCATCTAGTGGATGCATAATGCAATCTCAGTCACTATTGTAGCTTCTATTCTATGCGCCTTATAATGTGGTGCAGCCTATGTATGAAAATAATTTAAAAATAGGCCATTCATTGAAGGTACGCTTTACACTCCGAAGCGCCTTAAAGTGCGGAAAATACGGTAACTATCAAATGTATTATTGTTTCCCTACGTGATCCGTTGCCCTACCGTAGTGGTGGCGTTTTTGTATCCCAATGGTCCTAGGAGCTACAGAGTATCAACATACACTATCTGTCTGCTGTCTGTGGCTTTTTGTTCCCTGCAGGGTCACCCATGACAAACAGGTCCGAGGTGGGGACCAGAAAAGCATGGCTCTCAGACCCTTACATCGTTGGGCTCAGTTTTCGCTTGCCTGGATGTGGGTCACCGGGGCCCCATGAAGAAGCCAGTAGGTGGGGCTCACTTCATTGTCGAGGCGATCAACAGTAGCCGTGGCCATAAGGTCGGTGTCTGTCCTATAGGGCCTTTTTTGGTCTGTGGGACTCCGGATGCAGCTAATGGGTACTGGTTGGCCAAGCGGAACACGGCTTCTGCGATCACTGAGGCAAGAATGGTACGGTGAATAGGTGGATGGATACATCTGCGCTCTCATCTGAGTTTTAGTTCAATCATAGACAGATGTAGAGACCCTGGGATTTGTTAACTCTTCGGTCAGGGTGTCCGCCATCATTCGACAAGACTTCAGCAACAAGGCATCACTGTCTTGGTTTTCCTTGCACATATTGTCAAGCAATTGAGAACAGAATGTGAGAAATTAATTACCTTTCATAAGTAGATTTTTTTTGTTTCGACATTGATAGCCACCATTTTGGGCTCATGTCAGTAACAGTTTAATTTTTCAACGGACTGAGCTTAAATGAGAACACTAAAACTCCAAATTGATAATTCACTGTAAGACAGTCCTTTTGAGCGGTAGCTGTCGTTCATCTTTAAATATGTAATTATGTGCAGACATGTAAAAATACAGTTTCTCTATTTTTAAAGAAAGAACATTGTAACTTTTGCACTACTGTAAATGTTCACTGTAGACCAATTTAACTTTGTAAATGAATTGTTTTATATATTTTGGTCATGCATGGCAATATCCTCTAAATTGAGATTGTATGATGCAGTGTCAACATTTAATTTACTGACTTTTCCATTTCCTCTCCCTGATTGCAACTGCAAGTATGCTAAATCACGCAAACAATAAATCACTGAATACAATGATTCTTGACAGTCACATAAATGCAAACATTAGTGCTATTTCTTGAGCAAACACATCGCTGTCACACGGACTTGTACTGCTTGATTGGACCGTAATGAGTGCCACAATATGGTTGCTGCTTGGCGGTATAGGAGAAAGGGGACGACACGTGTACCGGGACGCCTATAGATGTCTTTGATTTTGATCGCTACACAGTTTCTGTCCATACAACAATTACTCCAACAAATGTAACTGGGCAAGGGTCTATGAGTGATGATTTACTGTACAGGGCAACAGCATGGAATTAACACTCCACTTCGCAGATATTCTTAACCATTAGTTGGCCTATTGCCCCATTTCATGGTTATCTCACATTTTGGTAGGTTGTCAAAGTGTCACAAAGATGAACGTATTCCCTGAAATAACATCTGATTGAAAGAATTAATGGTCGTCAGATGAAGACAAAGGGAAGAAGCCCAGAAGTGCCACCTCAAAACTCCATGTGTGCTGAAATGACATATTGATGACACATACGTGTACGTGAAGGAATACGATTGATCCTTTTATGGTTTTGCACAATATGACAGCCGGGTATTTGTAGTCTAAAATAGCTGAGTTGATTGTCATTCAAATTTGAACTCAGTCATAATTATGTGCTTTGCTCTGCCTTTCTGGACACTGCAGTGCATGAAAATAATAAATCAACATGAGAAATACACTTAGAAAAAAAAAGAGAGAGATCATGGAATTAAAGTTGCAAGTGTAAGGTTTTCATGGACCTGATGCAGAAAGCCCATCTTTTTCCTAATCTTATCTACTTTGCCCATCTGTCCATTTGTCTCTCTTTATTGGACACTAATATTGCAAAATGTTGATTTAAAAAATAGAACTTACTCAATTTTCAAGATTTTCTGCCAAATAAATTGAAATATTCCAACAAACACTAATGCAATAACCACTGGCATAGTCTATTACTAATTGGGATTGTTATTAGCATATTGAAAACCGAATATAATGACAACAAAGAATACAGTATTGGCTTTTACCTTCATATCCGTGTATGCAAGAAGAGGCATACAGTACTTAAAACCGATCTTTAATTTGATGCATGGTGCTTTGGAGGATGACCTACAAAGATTGATACAGCGTATATGAGTATGATATAGTTTGATATCTTTATTGGCAGACCTGTCACGATAACAAATTTTTGCGGATGATGTATTTATCCAGAAACTATCATGATAAATGATAGTATCGTTATTTTTTTTTTTTTTTAATGTCACTAACGTACCGATGATGTTGGAGGAGAAATAATTAACTGTCATTTTCTTTTAATTTTCAAGGATATGGAACATTTGCATAGAAGAAAATATCTTGGATATCTAATTCAAATAATAAAAAAAAAAAATGACTCAGGCTCAGTTGAGATTTGGTGCGATAGAGGTCACATGCGGAATGATATACTGTAAAGGAAAACATAATGACTACACGACACTATTAGTTTTATTTTACGCATTTTATTATTTATGCCATTATGATACTATTATTATATTTTTACCTGGTTTTATAACAGTAATGAGCAACAAAATTAATATTTGTTTGTTTACCTAGTGACTACGTACGACACTTGACAATTTAGATAGCAATGCCTCTAACTCATCCTCTCTGTCCCTGAGTTGAGATGTGAGCAATGTACAACCTGGCGTTTAGAATTGTATTCACTTTTTTTCTCTGAAAAGAATGCATATGTAATAAAATGCTTTAGAATTGCCCAGACAGCAGCTCTGTCTCTGCGCTTTGTACGTTCTCAGACATTGGTGAGACTCTTACATAAAGCAGCAACTCAACATGGGTAACGTCTGTAATCACAAACACCACTCAAAGCCCTTATTGAATCAGGGGGCCAAGCAAAAAACAAAACAAAAGCAGTAATAACTGGCAAAGCATAAAGGGTCAAATCTGAACACCGCGACTTTTCTTTCTAAAGCTCTGTCTCTTGGAATACGGCGTTTAACATGCAAAAGGTCTCCCAACAGTCTTATTAATTTTCCCATCATATTCATTCAGCTCAACCATGAATATACATGAAGTTTGAAAGCCTTATACGAAAAAATAACTGAGCTGCCAAAGCCAGGTGGGATAGATGCTTTGGCAGATAGATTTTCTGCCGTCAGTTCCTGCCTCTAATCAATGTCGGATTTTGTATTTCAAGTTGCAGGGATTATGTGTTGCAGATAGGAAATGTCAAAGTGTGTGTACGCACTCTACTGATGAATTCGATTCAAATTTAATACTATACAAATAGTAATAGATGCTCTCTCTTGACAGTTGTTTTGTATTCAGGCAACACGCTCCTATCCAAATGTAAGATGGTCTCTCGTATTTAGAATTAAGATGGATTGTAAATTGTAACTTCAGTTCAATTAATCACTGTCTGAACGAGGTAATTAGAAGGTGAGCTTAGACAAATACATTTACAGAGTAAAAAGAGGGTCTTATTTTCAGGTGGAGGAGAGGTTTCAGTGTTTGTAGGTCAAAAAACATTGAATAACCAGAGCTGTGAGCAGCTATGAAAGGCCTTCTCAGCCCCGGCCACTTTGGTGTTGTGGCCCATGTGCACATATATATATATATATATATATATATACACACACAAATACATGTTTTGTTAAGTGTTTTATTGATCATTGAAATTTTTGTAGCTCATGCACAGTTCACAAAAATCGGTATGATTAATGTTGGAATTTTTGCAATAAAACAACCCAGCACATCATACGTTTTGATTGTGTTGGCTGCATTACAAAGTCTGCTTAAGAAACTGTAACGTATTCCATTTCGCCCAAACATATTCTTGTCTAGTTGTTTCTTTTCTCACTTATTGAATTTCAAATTTCTGAAATGGAATAATTAAAATCACTGCTAAAAAAGCAACCATCAACAACAACAGAGTCTGAATCAACTATGACCACGAGATTTGAACTCCGTCAAAGCTTGGAGTCACTCTCCTTGTGACTCAAATGTTTCTTTTTTGAGGCCCAGAAACTCCAGGGCATTCCCAGCTAGTAACTTGTCCTGTAAAACAAAAAGACAGTTGTTGGTGACAAAAACGCGCAGTAACCCAGCAGACGCAGCAAATGGAGCCGCCTTAAGGTACATTGTCAAACATGATAACTACCTTCAGTGTCTCATCAAATTCTGTCATCGACTCAATCAGAGATCCTGTGCGTGTGTGTGTGTGTGTGTGTGTGTGCGCTTCCAAAAGCTCCTCCACCCCGTCGCTTATCACAGCACCAAGTGCACGATTCTAAAGTAATCTTGCCAAGACTCCATCCCCTTACAGCCCCGTGCTTTACAAAAGAAGCACGCATGCATCATTCAAGCTGACCATTCCAAACGTGATGTTAGCCCACTCTAAATCCTGTGTGGTAACCAAAGCTCCGAAGTTAAGAAAATCAAATGAAAATGCCACCATGGTGCCCGGGCTCAAAACTTCAAAAAGACCATTGTCAGAATCAGAGGCAGAGGTCATGCATTACTCCCAAACTACTCGTGGCTTGTAATATGTGTAGCCAATTAAGAAGTTGTGTGGACATACAGCAAATGCAAAGAGCATCACAGGAGTGGTGTGAGATCTTAATATAACGGATGAAACGGTGAACTATTTTCCTTATTTGTTTCTTGACTCCTTAAAATCTTGAATTTGTCTCAGTTCATGTTTCAGTGTAGTTTTGAACACAATATAACACTACCGTTGATCAGAGTTCATCCACTCTTTTGTAAGCAAACTCTACACTCTCCACTCTACACAGTTTGAAGGGAAGCTTGTTCAAACTGTGTTTCAATCTCTTACACAGATACTCGACTGCATTTAGATCAGAGTTCTTTTACACAGTCCAATGTGTTCTTGGCCTTTCTTGGGATTTTTTTGAACCCTTGGTAAAGCCTTTCTTTCCTCCCCCTCTGAAAAACATTTCTGAGGGGAACAATGAGAAAATGCTGTTTGATGTATTTGCCAATCAGGCCCAATGTCTGATCACATATACTAGAAAATGGGAGAGGGGCCAGTTTTAAAAGATGAATTATGCATGTTGTTTGTCATTTACATGTACATATTTTTGTGTTACTTGGATTTTAAAAACAAGAACAAACTAAAGCAACACCTGAAATAAAAAAAAGGAACAGATCTCAACAATTGCATTCGCTGCCACTATACAATACCACTGGTTTGTGTCAGACTGGTGTGTCAGCAACATACAATCCGTCTTCAACTTCACTGAATGCTGAAAACGCATATTTAACTGAAGTATCATCTCGTGTGTAAAATATGTCAATTATTAAATTTGAAATAGTGTCTCTTACTTATCCCAACACACAGTACATACTGTAGTGTAGCTTTCCACTCTCAGAGCAACTGAAGCAGACGGGATTGAAATGAACATCTGGATATCCCCCAAAGGTGAAGCTTGAACACACTCCGTAAGTAGCTGAAAACGCATTGCCCATTAATGTGCGTGAGTGCACACTATGGTGAGTCCTCTGGCTACATTACTTTTAAAATAAAGCATCATACATGCTCTGTGTAGTGATTCAACATATCCCTTGCCAAGTTCAAGCAAATCCTGGCGACTCTATTGAAGGAATGCCTTAGAGGCATTTTGGTGGTATAGATTTGGATTTGACTACAACAGCATCCTCTCTAACTGTCTCGCTGTGCTATAGGAAGACACAGTGGAGGCGTGTTGCAAGACAGGAAGCCAGTAAGTCATCAAGAGAGGATTTATTTCCACGTCTACATCCCTGGTGAAAATTTCAAGTTCATCAGTGACATTCTTGTCACCATAATTGAAGGCTGTTGAACTGAAGAGATGGCAAAAGACAAAATACATTAACAAGGATAAAGAGGAGAGTCGTTGATACGAGTAAAAGTGCCACCCACTGAAAAGGAGGACTCGGATTTCCCACCGTGGCTTCATGCCTGGTTTGTCTTTCCCGTAAGGAACGACTCTGTCTAATTGTGCAACGTCAAATCACAACAATTTAGCAGAAAATGTAGGACATTTTAAGCACTCTAACTGCCTCAAATCACTTGGCATACGTGACTTGCTGTCATGAAAACAATATTTTGCCATTATCCAAAACAGAATGTTGCATATTACAGGATAATCATCTAATCATACGCTCCAGCAATTTACGGTTTCTGCCGTCGCTGTCCTAAATTAACAACGCATTTTATTTTGTTGCCATGATGTTTAATACTGTGCATTCACATGCAGGTAGTACATGTATGAGCTCATATTGTTTGTAGTGACAAGTGCTCTAATAAACTTGTTCAGCTCTTGAAGTGGGATATTTTTTGTGCAATAAAATAGGCCTATCTATCTATCTGTCTGTCTGTCTGTCTGTCTGTCTGTCTGTCCATTTTCTCACGAAAGCATGCTGGAGACTATCCCAGCTCTCTTTGGTATCAGTAGGTGGGGGACACCCTGAACTGGTTGCCAGCCAATCGCAGGGCACACTTAGATGAACAACCATTCGTGCTCACACTCACACCTAGGGAGAATTTAGAGTGTTCCGTTAACCTGCCATGCATGTTTTTGGAATGTGGGAGGAATCCAGAGTACCCGGAGAAAACCCACGCAGGCATGAGGAGAACATGCAAACTCCACTGAAGAAGGCTGGGTCCTGGAATTGAACACCGCACCTCTTTACCTGAGCCCAAATGTCTCCGAAATAATAATTATAGTATATTGTTAAGGGCCAATTGAACACAGGCGCTTGAATTCAGTGTCTTGTTCCAAATGATTTACAATGACACATTATTGACAATGAGGAGAATACGAGTCATTTATTGAAATCGGCCATCAAATGAAGCTGCCACATTCTCTTCCGAAAAGACAAAGTGCCTGCCCTTCGAATTCAATTAGCAGGAAATTGTAACTACGGGCTCACCTGGACTCCTCACAGGGAAGTGGCTTTTACTGAAAAGGTCGTCTCTGCAGTGGTGTAACGCTCCACCCACACATCTCTCTCCAAGGGGCCTCACTTCAGGCTTTATCTGGACTGCCAGACTCACTCTCCACTTGTATTATACAAAAGGTATGAGTGCGTACACACTCTCTCAGAGCTGTTATTAGTGCCAAAGCAGTGCTGCAGAAAAGTCAACAAATGAGGAGAAAACCTTCAAATGTTCAGATTCGGTACGCCTGCATTTCGTTACATTTCATTGCACAATCTAATGGAGCATTTCCCGAACTTAATTGAGCCAAGGCATAGATTCTCAATCAAAACTAAAATAAACAACAACAACAAAAAGACACAACAACTGGATACACAAGTAGGCCAAATGCTGAAACAAATTAGCTTTTTTTTTTTTTTTTTTAACAAGTGCATGCCCATGTCAATGCCCTGTGGCATTCTGGGGGAAAAAATGCGACGTTTGTATGATTTAGCCTACTTGCGAGTACATTCAAACATACTTGCGAGTATTTTTGAACGTATTTGCCATTCCACAATTTCTGGCAGCCATTTCAAAACATCGCTCTTGGAAATAACACATTCGACTTCTGCCTGTTTGTACCACCGCCAACGGTGTAACAAGTTGCCTAACTGTGCAAGACAATAATAAATTAAATACAATGTTGAATGATTTGTTGAACTTTAATCAAGATTAAAATGCCGACCATGTGATGAGATTGGGGACATCCCTAAAGTCTATTGTGCCTTTTGGACGTAAAGCAGGTCGCAGCTCATCAATATGCACTTGTGTAATGTATTTGTCACTGTTAAAAACACACACACACACACACACACACACACACACACACACACACAAAGCCCTTGTTGTACTTATCATAAGGAGAAGATACAAGTGAAGCATGCGGGCTGTGCTCCATTTGATCTGAAGCTAAGGTTTGCATTGTTGAGATACACCCTTAACACACGTTATAACCATTCTCACCAACCTGGAGAAGTAATGGAGATCTTTGTCCATCCCCAAGCTTTCTCAACTACAGCAAAACATCTGAGTGGCTGCGAAGTCTCTCATCACAGCGGTGCTATGTACCAATTCATATTTTTCAACTTGGGCGCGTCTGCTGCGGCAGCAAACATCCACCTCATGCGCTTCCAGCCAGTGTAGCATGGCGTGATGTCACTGCACCGCAGCAAAAGATACAGAATGAATAGGTTGGTTGGAGGAAGTGCAGTGCTAAAAGGCCTATAAATTCCCTGCACAGCGCTGTCCAGTACAATCCGCACAAGATCGAGCATTCATTTTTTTTTTCCCTCCTGCAAGTTAATAAAAGACTAAACCAATCGAAGCAATAACAAGGTGGAAAATAAAAATGCCAGAGGGAGAGAGAGAAGAGGATAAATACAAACAGCCAGTGGGCTGGTGACTGAATGTCAACAGCAGCCTGCGCTGACTCACTGGGGTGAATGTAATAATATCGGGGGTTGAAGAAGAGGTGCCTCAACACTTTCTGGACCCAATAGTCACCGGAAATACAAAGACAGGACTAACAATGCAGAATACGACCCACGCTGCCGTACAAAAGGTGTATCGAATGGCCTCCACCATGAACAGCATGCATCATTAGTGGCAAAATGGCTTGTGTAACTGACCTGACTGGTTTATCTGTGATTCATACTATTTGTCTTTGTTTTTTATCAGAGGTAGTGACTCAAGTCACTAACTTACATGGCAAAAACTTGGCAAAAACCCGATTTGACTTTGACCTGGCATTGATGACAGTCGACTTTGACTTGAAATCCATGAATTGACAACTCAGCCCGTTTACATTGGAAACCCCATTTCTTTGATGACAGTGTGCCTTTTATTTTTTAAACTGGACTTATTTTCCCGACAAATTATACTTTTTATAGTCACGACGGAGAGCTGCAGGGGCACGTAATGTTTTGTTCTTCCTGGGGGCCTGTAACAGAAAATAATTGAGAAGCACTGATATATGTATTGAGTTATTTTTTAAAAGAGCAAAAACAAACATGCTAAGGAATCCAATTCAAAATCTTAATATTAGGGCTCCCTTCGGCTTTTGTTTCATTCGTCCAGTGTGTGTGTTACAGGCCGGAGGGAATGTGTCAAAGGGGGACCTCTCACAGGGCGCCATTTAGGACTGCCACTGCTTGACTTTTTTTTGGGAGTAGTCAATGCACGAACACGAACATGCTGCGCTGATAGCAATGCAGCTGTCCTCATATCA